CTCACGTTGGAGCAGTATGTGGACTGTCCCGTGAGGAGGGGATCCACTGGAGCAGGGAAAGGAGCGTCAGGCGGCCTCTTCCTTTAAGAAAAGGGAGCGGCAGTAACAACATGGGATGAACTGACCTGCGACCCCCCATTCCCCATCCCCCTGCACCTCTGGGTGGAGGTAGAGCCGGGAAGAAAGGAAAGGCAGGAGGGAGGAGGTGTTGTTAACTGTTAATGAATTGAATTGATTTGTCCCCAAGTTGACTCTGTTTTGCCCGGGACCATGGTCAGTGGGTGATCCCCCTCTATTCTTGTCTCACCCTCAGTCCTTCTGTTCCATTTTTCTCCTCTCCACCTGCCTGACGGGAGCAGTGAGCAGCTGAGTGGTGGCTGAGCCGCCGACGGGGCTGACCCATGGCAGTCCTACCTTCACTGCTGTCCGGGAGGGTTCCTGTTTGTGGGTCCAGAAGTAGACACTATCTGAGACACATTTTATGGGAAGGCTGCTTTGCAGGCAGATGTGAACTGCCGTTAGAATGGGATGTCCTCTGTTACACACACTACATTTTTCTAAACTCAGCTTTTCTGTCCTGATCACAATGTTTTCCTTGGTCCTGGCATATGCCGTCGCTGTCTGATGTGGTCCGTTTAGGTCATGACTTTTAAACTTTGGGAAAATTCAGGGAAATGCTACGTGATCCAAAGAAATGATACATGCCTGACATTTACGTGAAGAGTCTCTTCAGAGATAGAGTTCTCTTTAGAATAACTGCCAGAAGTTCTCTTTAGAATATTTAAGCCTACCACAAAGATATAGGAATGAAAAACATCTTGAGCCACAAATGGTTAGACAACCAAGTACACTTCCTTTGCAAGTCAATTTCTAAATGTTTTGCTGTGTCTGCTTTCCCTGTACTAAGCAAAGTATGGAGAAAGAAAATATAGGATGAGAAAACTACTATAACAAAGCATGTCGAGGCTTTGGGCAACCTGGTGTAGTGGAGGATTTCCCTGCCCATGGCAGGGGGGGTGGAACTAGATGATCTTTGAGGTCCCTTCCAACCCAAACCATTCTATGATTCTATGTCTGTGCCTGCAAATCTATAGAACTTGGGATTGGAATGAGCAAAAAGTCTCGGTTTCGTTTGTAACCATTACCACCGTGTTTAGAAATTGTGCTGTCATTAAGTGGTCGTTTTGGCAGATAGTGGGGTATACTCAAACCTTTTGCAAACTTAAGTTGGGATTTTCAAGCATCAGAAAATGCTAACAGTGCTATCAGTGACAGATGCTACTCGAGTTATTATTCATATGGTGAGTTTATTGTGAATTAGGAATACAGACAGTGTTTCAATGGTACATGTGAAGGCTGTCACATATGCACTCTGGTTTTTGATGTGCACTTGAGAAAAGCACTAATATAAACAGAGAAGTAAATAATTATGTACATCTCCTGTCCCAGAAAATCTTTAAAGCAATTCCACCAGTGTGGTAGATCATTCTGTGCATTTGACTATCCAGTAAATATATACATTAAAATTTATTTATCCACATTTTAATAATTATTCTTTATCAGCATGTTTTATTTTGGTATCTTAAAAATGTGAATTAGTAACATGATTTTTGGTCTTGAATTTATTCTGTTGTTTTTTTAAAAAAATTCTTTTAAGGCTAAATATGGTCCAACACAGTAATAAAAAAATGAGAAGAAGAGAGGAAGGGGTAAAACATTAGTCTCGCTACACTAGTATTTTGGTTCTATTTTTTTAATTTTAAAAGGTTTGTGGAATATATGTATTACCTTAGCTGAAAGAAAGAAAAATATTTTAATAAGAAGGCAAAAGTAGGTCAGAAAGGTCCAAAATCTAAACAGGTAGGTATAGTTCTCATAGTACTAGTTTATAGTACATTCTGAAAATAATCTATAATCTAAACATAATCAGTTTTTGAGAAGCGTATTTAAAAAGTTGTTCTGCTATCATCAAGCCTTTCAATGGTTTACTTTCATGGTTCAGGAATCTCTTCAGACTTTGCTAAAACTATAGGCTCCTCTGTACCTGCAGTAGTTGTTGCCTTTGGGGCAGATTTGAAGAGATCAGTATTTTTGTTAGTGTACAGTATAGCACTTCCAGGTACTTGAAAATTTAGTTGTGGTAAATTCTGTTCCATTGTTTTCATAAATATTAGCTTTGGGTTGGTTTTTTTTTTTTAATTTTCAGTTACTAGAAAACTAAGAAAACATTTTTTTCTGTATGTGTAGGTTATTTTCTTTTCATTGAGGGTTGAGAAAAGAAATCTTCACTTGGTTGTATCTCCAGGAATATTAGATTGACTATCTTTTTCTTCCTCCAACAAGATTAGTTCAGTTCTTGCTGAAGATGTCACGATAGTTCGAGAAACTGGAACATTAGATGAAGCCTCATCAATTTCAACTTTTCCAACCTCTGTTGTTTCTTTAGGTGAAAAGCTTTCTTGTGCATCAAAAAATACATCAGGTTTATCTGATGGGCTATCCTCATCAGAGATTCCTCTCTCTTTGTGACCCGCCCCTTCTTTGTCAGCAGTCTTAGCCTTTTTGGAAGGAGATGTGAAACCAAGCTTGGGGAATCTAAACCATCCAGTTTTTTCAGTTTGCTTAGAAGAATCATTATCTGATAAGTCAGCAGGTTTCACATCTTCTGAAACTGATTTTTTTACTTCTGTTTTTGAATCTGTGCTTGTTTCATCACCAGAAGATGAAAAGCCAATACTTGGAAGCCAAAATTTGAATCTTCCAGGAGATCTTTTACTATCAGTCTTTTCTTTTTCATTGCTTATGTCTTTTTCTTCATCTTCTAGTGCTTCAGATACGTCCTCATCTTTAGAGAGAGGACCTGCAGTTACTACCTCTGGTGACTTATCAGGCTGACTCTCTTCAGGTTTGTCGGAAGGCTTTACTTCAACAGCAAATGTTTTTAACTTTGGCAAACTTACTTCTCCACAACATTCTTCAGTCTTACTGTGTGGTTTGTCAGATAGTTTAAGCTCAGATCTGCCAGTCCTCTGTGCTGCTACTCCGAAGCTTTCATCAGCACATTTAGGTTTGCTCACTGATACATCTTCTGTCGAAGGTGACTGCTGGACTAGCACTTCTAAGTTGCTATGCGATTCAGGTAACTTCACCTTGAGCAATGAGAATCCCAAAGCAGCAGTTTTGACTTCTGATGAGAGAATCTCTGATTCTTTCAGTATTTCAGTAGCGTAAATCTCACACCTTTCAATAGCAACGTGTTCAGGTTCTACTTTCTCACTCACTTCTTGGCCCTCTACATATGACCAGTGAATGTCTTGTCCTGCGCTTGAAAGGGACGACTCTACGGTGGTAGTCATCTGTGCTGTTTTAATGTCAGGTTCAGTCAGTGTTAGAATTTTGCTTTTTGCTTTTTGAAGACCACCCTGTAGAGCCTCTGGTGTTTCTTCAGGGACAGTAGAGCTTGCTTGCAGTTGCACTACTTCAATGTCAGTGCTAGATCCCTTTGGATCTGTTACCACTCTTGACACTGAAACATCAGCTTCAGTTGGGAGAGATTTGAAAGTGAATCTTGGTATTTTTAGTTTGGGAATTTTAATATGTACTTCTGGGACAACTTGTGATTTTTCCACTGTTTCCACTGTTATTCTGGTAGACGCTCCCATATGATCTAGAGCTGGACTTTCCAGGCTGATGGATCCCTCTGATTTTTCAAATGGCGTTTCTGCAGTGCCTATTTCAGTTTTAGATACTGACGCAGCTTCTAAATTTGGCAAATTGATATCATCTTCAAAACCCTTTACTTCTGAATGCAACACTCCAAACTTTGGAATCTCAAACTTGTATGTTTTAATTTTACTTGTTTCTGCTCTGTCTTCTACTTGCACTTCCGCCACTGCACATGTGTCCTTTTCAACACTTTTCACTTGAAATTTCGTGTCAGGATCTACTCTAGCAATTTTAACACCCATTTTCACTGTTGGGACTTCTACTTTTAGATCTTCCAGCTTAGCTGTAACATAAACACCATCCTCTGATCCCTTTGTTGTAGACCATTCACACATAGGCCTTTCTAATTGGCTTCCTTCACTGTCTTTTTCTATAATTCTCATCTCACCCTTTATCTTTCCTTTTTTAATTACTGCCTCTTGATTTTGAACATCTAGCTCTTCCTTTGGAATATTAGTATCTGTTTTCTCCTGTGTTGCATCCAAAGTGATTTCAGCTGATGATGGTTTACATCCTGCTCCTGAAGTCTCTAATTTAGTGGAACTTTCTACCTTTGGGACTTCTGTATCCTGTGATTTGACTTGATACTCTTCAAGAGTCAGAGTATGTGTAGGAAACCTGTTTGTTAAACTGTTGTCTTTGTCAATTTCTGAAGCACTTAGGTATGATTTAGACAACTCTGCTGAAGACACTGTGAATTCGGAAGTATGCATTTTTTGTCCTTCAGCACTGTGCTTAACTATGTCTGCGTAAGTTTCAGTTTTTGGAATATTCACTCTACTATCTGTTCTTTCTGTGGATAATGAAATGTCTCCTCCCATCTTTGGCAAGCTAACCTCAGAACTCTTCACAGAATCTCCTAATTTTGGAATCCCTTCTTTTCCAATAGTAATTTCAGCAACTGCGTGTGGTAGTGAGAAGGTATTTTCAGGACTACTTGTTTCAGTTTGTACTTTTGCAGAGGGAATGCCTGCCTCACCTTTTTCCATGCTTCTTTCAACATCAGCATCACCTTTTTTTCCCTTTAAGGATGTCCTGCCAAATGCAGGTATTTTGAATTTTGGCATTTTAAACCATCCCTGATGTTCTTCAGTCTGAATTTCTTCAGCTTTTATTTCATGTTCTTCTTTTAATTTGACTTCTTTCTCTTCAAGGCTTTCAATAGCTCCCTCTCTCATTGGTTTAGGCACTGACTGGGGGCTTATGTCTACCTCTGGAGCTTCAATGCCAGCTGTCAGAACTTGAGGCGTTTTCATCTTACAAGCATAAGCACCTACTCCAGGATCTGATACATCAGATGTAAGTTCTGATGCTGGAACTTCCACAGCAACGTCAGCAATTTTGTGTGTCATTTTTAGCTGGGGTAGTTCAGCTTCTATTTTTGGAGCACTGATCTCTGTCTCTGAGCCTTTCCCTTTTGTTAAGGAGATTCCAAACCTTGGTTTCTGGAATTTGGGCATTTTAATCTTCCCTTCAGGACCTTCCAACTTCATCTTTCTTCCATCCACAACTGATGATCTTTCTGTTACTATTTCAGGACTCCTCAGTTCAATTGAAGCTTCTCCTTTGGGGAACTTAATACCTGTTTTTTGAATGGTATCTTCATCGGTAGAACTTGATTTTAGGACAACCTGCTGAAAACTCTCCTCTGAGGGAGGCAGAGCAGCACCAGTCTTTGCTGAGCTGACTCCCATACGAGTTTGGGAAGCTCCAGTTTCTATTCTGGAAAGCTCCAGAGTGGGAATCTTAACATCAGCCAGTTTTATGCTTATTTGTGCCCCTTCTGTCCTTTTGGAATGACTTCTTTCTATATCAGGTATCTGTACTAAATCATCACCCTCTTCCTCTGTTTTAGGAATAGTAGCATCAGATTCAACTTTTGGTGAATGCGTCTGAGATTTGGGAACCTTGATCTTGGAGAGTGAAATTTTAGGCATGACAAGTTGAGGCTTTTTAATTGGACTTTTTTGTTCAACATTTCCTGCAAATATGTCCAGATCAAGTGCTGGTCCAGTAGCTTGATCATCAGGTACAGTTCCTCTCACTTCTGTGTCTATTCTGCCTGACGTTACAGCAGGTTTATGATCTTCTAGATTTGCTCCAGAATCTGATTTAACACTTGCTTCCTTCTTTGGTGACCAACTGAAGGATGGCAGCTTGAATTTTGGCAATTTGAAATGTCCTTCTTTCTCTTCTTCATCTCCGTCTTGCTTTATTTCCCCTTTGAATTTTAGTGCTGCATCTGAATCCCGAATATCGCTGTCTGTTTTTGAAATAGAAGTGTCAGCCGATGGGAGGTGGACATCAGCCTCTGATGCCTTGTTGTCAGCTTTGGTCATTTTGACTTTAGGGCTGTAAGTTTCTGTTTCTGTACCACATTCCACCTCCAAATTTGGTGCTTCAACAGCAATGTCAGCTATTTCAACTGTTGCTTTTAGTTGGGGAACCTTGACTTCTGATTTGGATTGGCCGACCTCCTTTTCTGAACCTTTCCCTTTAGAATGTGTAATTCCAAACTTTGGCATTTGGAATTTAGACATTTTTGTTTTCCCTTCAGGTCCTTCAATTTTTATTTCTACATCACCCACAGCAATTTCACTTGATGTTCTTTCAACACTTGTGTCAGGACTCTTCACCTCGAGGGAGACTTCAGTTGCCATCTTAATATCTGAGGTTGAGAGGCTGGCATTACCATCAGCTGATTTCAATGTCAGGTCATCTTCTTCACGTGTAGGAAGTATGGTCTCACCTGTAGGCATGCTAATATCCATCTCTATTTGGGGAGCTTTGACTTCTGGTTTGGAAAATTCCAAAGTCGGGACTGTAATATTTGGCCCTTTTATACCAATTCCTGACCCTTTTCCGTCACTCCCTTTCTCAGATTTCTGCACTGAAATGGCTTCTTTTTCTTGTTTGGGACCACAGACCTCAGTTTCCAGGATGGGCAGACAGACTTGGGCTTTCTGACCCTTCATTTTAGGGAATGAGATCTTTGGCATGACAAATTGGGACTTCTTGTTTCTGCCCTTTTCACCGTCTTTTTCTGTTGATGTATCCAATTCCGCATGAAGGTATTGATTATCAGGGGTAGGAAATGTTAATTCAGATTCTGTGTCTCCAGATAAAGTAGATGAGGTGGGTTCTGCCAGATATCCCTCAACTTCAGGAGGAATAATAGATTCTTTCTTTGGTGACCAACTAAATGAAGGGAATTTGAATTTTGATGTTTTAAGTCTGTTTTCTTTCTCCTCAGTGTCCTTCTCTCCTGAAACTAATTCCTGTTCTGCCTTGCACTCTAGATCTGGGCCATGGATTTCAACTTCTGATTTTGGCATGGTAACTTCCATTGATGGGAGACTGACATCCAACTTTGGCGCATCCAGAACAATATCAGGTGAAGGCTTGTGCATCTTTACACCTAATTCAGCATCAGAGATATGAGTTGGTTTTTCAATATCAGTATCAGTCGTATCAGATATTATCCTTCCCTTGGAAATTTCGGATTCCACTTTGGAACCAACATCACTTTCTGATTGTTTGCCCTTAGACCAAGAAATTCCAAATTTTGGTTTTCGGAACTTAGGAATTTTAACAATAAACTCTGAGTCAACCACGGGTATTTCAGCAGTTGGTGTTTTCCCTCCTGGCTTAAAAATTCCTTGCTCTGAAGAATCATCTTCCTTTAAAATTTCAAAATCTGTTACTGAAAGATTCTCATCAGCAAGAGATGATACTTTTGATTTAGATTCTGCAAGATTCATTTGGTATTTAGTAAGAGTAATATCCCCTTTCGGTAATGGGGAATCCTGTTCAATTTTAGAAGATCCAATATCAACTTTGGAGAAACCCAAGCTAGGAATTCTGAATTTACTACTTTTAGAGCCACTGTCAGCTTTACTGTAAGGAAAAGGTTTAGATCCTACACTGCCTGAAAGAACAACAGGACTTTCCTCTGTTACTGAGTAACAAGAAGTTTCTGACAAAGAAACTTCAACATTGGACTTTTTCTGTGCCTGAGGTTTAGAACTTATAGAAAGCGAAACCTTAGGCATTCTAAATAGAGAACTTCTAGCTTTACCGATATCATCGTCTTTTTCAAATTCCAAAGCAGGCTCTTGGATCTCGGCCGCAGGCAGGGTCATGTCGACTTCGGTGGTTCCCGAGGGCACCACCACTTGGGGCTCCTTGAGGCTGTCGTCCACATCGGCGGCCACGGTGCCCTTGGCCTCTCTGCTGCTGGACCAGCCAAAGGAGGGCATGCCGAACTTGGGCATCTTGAACTTGCCGTCCTTGGTCTTCGCGGCCTCCTTCTCTGGGGCTTTTGCTTCCCCTTCGAGGGCGAGGGCCGCCTCGGGCGCCTGCAGGTCGACGCTGGCCTTTGGAAGGGTGACGTCGACGGACGGAAGGGTGACGTCGACGGACGGGAGGCTGACGTCCACCTTGGGAGCTTTGATGTCAGCTTTGGGCATTTTGAGGGAGGGCTTCTCCACCTTCCAGGTGGCCCCTTCGGTTTTGGCACCCGGGACTTCAGCTTTGAGGTGCAGCCCCATAGCTTCCTCTACCACTGTTATAGTTTTAGAAATTTTCTCTGTTTTCTTTGGTGATTTACTGAATTCCCCTTTTTTTATTTCAATATCAGTTTTGGTAATCAGTATTTCTCCTTCTGTCTTTTCCAAAGTTTTATCTGCTGCGGAAGTTTTTGTGGTTTGAGTTTTGAGACTTGGCAGATGGAGTCCTGATAGTTTTGTTATATCCTTATCGTCAACTTTTCCTTTGGATATTCTAATTTCAGTTTCAGTACTTTGAATCTGTATGTCTTCTGCTGATACACTCACCTCTGTTTTTTCACCTTCTTCTCGGGGTGGCACTTTTCCATCTCTACCAGTTACCTGACTTTCAGCATGCCCTGTCTCATCTTTTGTACTTGCCCATGTAAATGTAGGCAATTTAAACTTTGGCAGTCTGAATTTGCTTTCTTTTCCCTCTATATCCTTTTCTCCTGTCTTCATGACAACGTCCATCTTCAAGGTTTTATCACTTGTTGTCATACCATCTTCTTCTTTTTCTGACTTTTTTACAGTATCTCCTAATTCAGCTGTGCTTTCTTCTCTTGGTATTTTTATTTCAGCTTTCGGTGTTTTGGTCATTTTGAATGACGGCATTTGTATTTTCCAGGAAGAAACTTCTGATTCTGTATCAGGTATATGAGGTTTCACATCTAAATTCTTACTGTCCCCGAAACTTATATCATCTGTTTTTTCTGGTACTGAATGTGGAACATCAGTTCCTGGTTTGTTTTTTTCAGTCTCTGGCTCTTTTCTTTTGGGCATTGATATCCCAAATTTTGTTTTCTGAATTGTTAGTATTTGTGTGTCGTCTTCTACTTGTTTTTCTCCTGTTTCCAGTGTGTCAGATGTTGTGTGTAATTCTGCTTTAGCAGTGCCTATTTCTAGACCTTTTACCTGTATGGATCCTGTTGCTGTGAGACCCATCTTGTCTACGTTAATTCCACTTGCTCCTTCTGTTTTATCTGCTGTTCCTTTCTGTTTCTTTTTTCGGGATTTTGATGAGGCTTGGGATGTTTGTTTAGTTGGGCTTTCTTTCACATCAGATGTTTCTAAAGTGGGCTTTGATATCTGTGTTACAGCCGGTACTTCAGGTACAGCAAATTTTGATGTTGATTCCTTGTCTTTTTCTTTTTGAATGCTTATTTCAACTTCAGGGCATTTTTTTTCATGAAATGGAATACCATTTTTCGTATCTTCTAAGTCTTTTGTTAAAGTTTCACGTACCTCCTCTGTTTTAATTTCATAAGCAGGAGATGTGGTGTATTCAACAGTTAGTATTTCAGGATTTTCCAGGCTGATATCTTCTTTACGTATTTTTTCTCTTTCAGATAACAGTGTAGTTTTTATTTCTTTTTTTTGCTTGTCTTGTGTTTCTAGTTTGGATCTGTGCATTTTGAATCCAATGCTAGGGAACTTCAGTTTCTTTTGGCTTCCTTTTTTTTCTTTGATATGGACTTCTTGTTGAAACTGAGACTCCGTGTCTGTGCTTGTAGGGGAAACATCCTGTATAGCAGGCTCATATGCATCTGATGTACTATGAGATCTTCTGTGCCCCAATATCTTTTTATTTTTAATTGACTGGAATTTCGGCCATGATAATCTATCTTTTTTAGGTCTTTTGCTTCTTCCTACTCTTTGGCTTGCAATCAATGTTTCCCTGTCTTCTTCTGAAATGGCTTTTCCTGAAATGTGCAGTGTTTCTTCAGGAATGCTCTCACTGAGTTCTTTTTCCTGAAAGAACAAGTAGCAGTTAGAAGATTAAAAGTAAACTGAATATGGTTGCAACACAAAGTAAAATGCATACTATAAAATATGTAGAATATTCTATTCACAGTATCTACTTGTTATATTCAAAAAAAAAATCCTGAAAATGGTGTATATAATTCAGTCAGAAATTGCATAAAAAAAATAGATTTTAAGCCTGTAATAGGTGGATTTCTGAAGATTTACATTTTGCAAAACATTGCAGTAAATAGGAGTTTCCATGTGTCTCTCTCTCATGTATTTCTCTCTCTCTATGTCTGTACAAATATAAATATATATAAAATATTTTAATGTATGTATATGAAGAGAAAAATAATTTTGAATATGATGGAGACCTATGAGCAGATCATGTCTATGGAGATACCGGGGATTAAAGACATATTTTTACAGAGGAAATTTCATTGATGACCTTTTGAGAAAAATATTTACTGATGTTTTACATTTTGAAAAATGTTGAATATAAATGCTGCAGAGCTTATCTGAGCTGGTTCTGTCAGTATAGACTTAATAATGAAAAATAATGCTGACTGTCTAAAGAATGTTTTTGTACCCTAATGCAAGATTGTAGCTTCATCCAAAATCTACAGTCTTGCCCAGGACATTTTAAAAGCTGCAAATACTGTGTGGTATTTTTTTCTTCTCATGAATATTCATGCTAGGAAGTTTAAACACATTCCTAAGTCTTAGGAAGACACATGTGTGTATTTTCTGGTCTATTTCCACACAGCACATTACTACAGTGTTATCCAAACTTTGTAAAATAATCAAATATCTACCTGGTTTATTCTTTCCTTTTTGTACTGGGCTGTAGCATGAATATGTTCTAGCTCTTCTTTCCCAGCAATTTTTCTTTTGAGGTTGAATTGGACTTTGTATGGCTCGGAATATTGGAGAATCTTGAGCGCATCTTCATATTTGATATCATCAAAAAATATTGTAGCACTTAGAAGCTGGTCACCTGCAAGTGGAATCAGACATCGTTTTAATTAGTTTGTGTTTTCTTGCAATTTTTCAAATTTGGTTGAATTAATGCCCACAAAAAAAAATAAAAATCACATCCTATTTATTTAAAATATGAAACTATGTTCACAGAATAGAACCACAGAATAGTTAAGGCCGGAAAGGACCTCTGGAGATCATCTACCCTCAACCATCCTGCTCAGGGAAGGATCAACTACAGCTCAGGTCTGTGTGCAGTCAGGTTTTGAAGATTTCCAAGGATGCTGACTCCACAACCTCTCTGGAAAAGCTCTTCCAGTGTCTGACCACCCTGACGGTAACAAAGTTTCTTCTTATATTTTTCAGTATTTAGACTCTGGACTTTTATTTCTGTTTAAATAATTATTTATTGTAGTTTTGTGGCATACTATTTTGTGAAAGAATGAAAGGCAGGTTCTTCATGAATGGTATGAGTTGAGAATATTTTCATTTTAGTTGTGTATACACTACTTTCTATGCATCTTTTTCACTGTTCCAGTGAAAATTAGATAATTTTTTTGATGATATAAAAAAAAACAAACCAACATTTCATTATTGTTTAAGAAACTGATCTCTGAAATTATGAATATGGAAAGGTTAAGCTCACACATAGTATTAGTTGGTTTGGGATCTAATATATTACCTAAAGAGATGAGAGACCAGATAGGTATGTTATGCACACACAGCTACATACCTGATTATTTTAACATATATTAAAAAAAATCCCAAACCCCCAGAAAATTAGACTGTACCTTCTCTCAGACTGAATATTTTTGAAGCAGGAGATTCCTTAAGCACTTTTTTAATAAATATTCCTTCAGTTCCTCCACCTGTCACACTAAAACCGCTAGCACCAGCTTCCACTTCTGTTTGCAGGGTCACTTCCATTGTCTCCTAGATATAGAAAAAGGTGTGAATTTATAATTTTTATTCATTTGTTTCAAAAACCTGCGTCTTCCTGTTCAGTGTGGGTTTGATTTAGTTCTAAATTAGAATTAGCACGTGTTAGGGTTATGCAGGTTCAGGGCTGTA